ATCATTTCCACTATGTTCTACATCATCCCCACTTTTTTCTACATCATTTCCACTATGTTCTACATCATCCCCACTTTTTTCTACATCATTTCCACTATGTTCTACATCATCCCCACTTTTTTCTACATCATCCCCACTATGTTCTACATCATCCCCACTATGTTCTACATCATCCCCACTATTTTCTACATCACTCCCACTATTTTCTACATTTTCTATTTTTTTTTAAAGAGTCAAACAAACACACACAAAGCCAACACACACAAAGACGCACAAACATTGTGGACACGCACTTAGCAAACAGAATTTCAGATCCCAAAAGTGGGTGGTTGGCGGGTGCTCTGGTGTGGTTTGCTTCTTCTTTCCTATCAAACATCTATTGTCCTTATCTCCCCTTCATCTTTTTTATGTTTGTTACTCTCTTGTAACAGCTCTAATCTTCTGGCGCTCATATGACCTTATGCAGTTGCGAGCGCCGTAAAACCTCTACTAAAACTAAAGATCCCTAAATGTTTCTTTTTTATACATATTTTTCTATATATTAGTTAGAAACACAGCGAAATTTGTACGTAACGAAACGTTTTCCACAGCCCAACAATCTGGCTACGAGCGTGCTGGAATGTATCTCGATGGAGCGTACAATATTCTCTCCATGCCAGGACTCGGATCAATCCAGTCGAACACGAGGACTCAATTCCAAGGAAAAACAATCCAAGAATAAAAATTCCTCGCTAACATTCAACAGATTACAAATAAAGAAATAAATAAATAAAATAATGTGAGGGATAAAGGTTAGTCTTGTACGTTCTGCGTTACACCAAATGTGACTCAAAGAGGCCTAAAACCTCCCAAAATGTGAGTGGGCAGTTGGTGGGTGCTCTGGTGTTGCTTGCTCCTTCCGTCAAACGTCTATCGTCCTGATCTCTCTTCCTTCTTTTCTTTGTACGTCGCTCTATCCAGTAACACATCCAATGTTCGCCATGTACATGAACAAGACTTACTTGTGTAGCCAGGGCTGTAAATCTCTTACTAAAGCAAAAGCAAAATGTGACAGACTAAGCAAAGAAAACAAGCCAAATACCATAAACACCCAGTTTCATAAACACCCAGTTTCATAAACACCCAGTTTCATAAACACCCAGTTTCATAAACACCCAGTTTCCAGATATATTTTTATTGTATCAGAATGTTTGTATATATAGATATATCTATATTTATATAATAATAATAATAAAAAGATTATATTACACAAAAGAACAAAAATGATTATGCAGAAAGTTGCAGCCATTGGGAATGAAATGATCTTGAACAACAAAGGAGATAACTCACAACTAGATTCACAAACATACACGTCCAAGTTGTGCACACAGATCCTACGTAACGACGCCACCGCCTAAACAACAGGATGCAGAACGGCTGACATAGATGCCTGCCACTGGGACCTGACCTCTTTTAAAAAAATAATAATACTAAAAAATAGCATTTGTAAAGTGCATACCCCCAAAAAGCTCTATGCGCTTTACACTATATTATTATTACCCAAGCAGACCATCGAACACTTCAGTCAATGGCACCGCCATGGGGGAGGAACACAAAATGAGGCATGGGTGGTTGGCAGGCCCTCTGATAGTTTGCCCCTTCTTTCCTATCAAACATCTTTTCTGCCGTATGCTTACTAAATGCCTTTTTTTCTCTCAGTGCAGTTTCGAGAAAAGGAGGGGTTTTTTTTGTCAGTGTAATCATTTTAGAGAAAAAGAGTCTTTCTGAAATTTTGATTTTAATTTATTCAAAAACTAGTTACAGTTTCACATTGAATTTTTCACACAAGTGGGATAACTGATCAGGCTTTCAATTTAGTAAATTAAAAAAATTAGCGCCAAAATGAAAAAAGGTGTTTCGTCAGCTTACGGCCGTACTGTCCTTATAATCTCTCCCCCTCTCTCTCCTGAAATATTTTACTTTCTAGACCTCGTACATTTGAACAGCTTTTCTGACACTGCAACATTTCTGTTTTGTTTCATACAACGAGACAAAACAAAACCAAACAAAGAAACAATCCCACAAAGGAAGCGCGGTTACCACAAGAGGCACAAAAACTTCCCTGACTGTAGCTATGTACAAAAAAGACCTCACTGTCAGTAGCTATGTACAAAAAAGACCTCACTGTCAGTAGCTATGTACAAAAAGACCTCACTGTCAGTAGCTATGTACAAAAAAGACCTCACTGTCAGTAGCTATGTACAAAAAGACCTCACTGACCAGAGATATTTACAAGGTTTCATTACACATCACAGGAAGTAAAGAAAGCATCTGCCATTGTTTGACACGAACGTGTTTGCTTCACAGGAGAATCTGCCTCAACGACTAGACGTGATTGATCCTGACGTAGAACCGACAAAAACACCAAAACATTACAACAAATTGAAGTGAAGCTAGACAAAAACGAAACAAAAATAATGAAATATTTGTTTGGAAATTCAAAAGATTGGAATGGGAGTCATCAGAAATTTGACTAGATCTTCCAACTTTGTTTTTATTTCTACCCAAACTAAAGGCTCAATCTGGGCTATAAACAAAGAACCATTGCTCTCAAACTTTAAGAGAAGTCGGCCTATTGCTCTAAAACTGTTCTCAGAGACGTTAAGACAATATTCGTTTTGTGGGTGGTCGCCTCATCTCTTCTCCTTCTTTTCCTGGTGCATTTCTCTCCAAAATCACTTCCTATCTTCAGCAATTATATCATCTACACGATATTATGTGTTGCAAATGTCGTAAGACTCTGACTTAACTTTGCCCATTTTATCTTATTTAATCTATTTGAAAAAGCTGGATGAGGTTAACGTAAGACTAAAAAGTTAAGCAGCGAAAACTGTCCCAGCTTCCCTAGTCCTACATGTTTTCTTCCCTCTGAGTAAGGCTTATTTAATTCCCCTTGTGGGTGGTTGGTGAGTGCTCTGGTGAGGTTCACTCCTTCACTTTCCAATCAAAATCAAACATTTTTCTGTCCTTGTCTTTCCTTTGTGCTACTCTCTAGTAACACCCCGACCCCTAATCTTCACAACTTTTATGATCTTTTTGGTTTGCAAGTGCCATAAAACTCTTACAAAAGAGAAAATAACCAAAAATCTGTTCTCCACTTTCTTTAATAAATAATTATACTACAGCTATTACTGTTGCAAACCAAGTTGGAATACAATTATTTATTTATTTGACAATGTGCACCAGAGCAAAAGGAAAAACTCTGTGAGAACTAAATGTACCGCCCAGCCAGTGAGCAGTGAGAAATACTTCTTGTGGTCAGCTGTAGACTTGTCCATGGGCAGAACGCCGTCTAGAGATTCATAATTCCATGAAGTTTTTCTGTTTATGCTGTAATTTAGCCAGTTCTCCGATCTCAATCACTGAACGAAAACTGCTTTTTCAAAAGCAATGTCCTCAGTTTGACTGTAGCAATGTTGCTATGTCTCTCTCATTGTCCACACTTTGACTATGATGGTACCCTATAGCAAGTTCTTCTTTTCCCCTATAGTAGGCCTACTTTTCTATTTTTCCCTAATTATCCTGAGTTCACTAACGCCAGCGTTCCTCTTGTGGATGAGAAAGTTGAACTTGTCCTGCAGGGCTGGCTTCTCGTGGCTGTGTGTGCCGTGATGTATGCTCCCGGCGATGGTGTCCGTGCGAGCGCCCGTGACAGACGCGAACACGTTCTCCACGCCCAGCAGACAGCGCAGGCCCAGGAAGGCAAACACCAGCGCCTCTTTGTACTCCACGATCTCGTTCTCAGTGTCCACAATCTGAGAGACAAAAGTGAGAGACACACTGGTGAAATCTGGCACTCGTCAAAATAATGACATTGAACAAACCGACATTTCTCCCCCCCCCAGATGGTCAATTTTTATCGTTTCATTTTAAAAAAATTTTGGGGGCACAACACCTTTTATGTCAATTTTGATAACATTTTTTCTGATAAGATTTTACTGAAAAATGTTGAAGCTGAACAGGGGCAGACAAAATGTAAATCTGTTCACAAGGACATTAGATCTGTGGAAGTCACCAAACTTTGGAGGCCATTTTCTCACTACTTTTTAAAATCTCTGACACCAGGTGACCCCCATGTCCTTCACTCGCAAATATTTCCACGTCTGTTCAAGATAGAAAAGACCACTATTAGAGTCCCGTGGATCTACGTTCTGTGTCCTAACGTTAGACTCAGGGAGTACTTTCCTGGTGGAGATGTCATTTGCTGTTATTATAATAATTATAATAATAATAATAATAATAATAACAACAATAATAATAATAATAATAATAATAAAAATAATAATAATAATAATTACATAATAATAATAACGATAACAATAGTAATAACATTAATAATAATAGCCTAGTAATAATAATAATAATTACAACAAAACTTCTTCTTCCTCATGTTCTTCTTCTTAATATTATCATTATTACTGTTATTATAATAACTTATTATTATTATCTATTATTATGATTATTATTATAATTATGATCACTATCATCATCATCCTAAGAGTCTGCTGACCGTAATGTGGTGTTCGGCCATCTTAGAGCTGATCAGTCTCATGAGTGTGGTGTTGAAGGCCCCGCCCCCCGTCACCAGCACCGTCCCAGAAGGCTTTGCAATGTTCTTGACGCACCCCCGGGTCACGTGATCACTGATGTGTTCCACGAACGTACGCAGCAGGTCAGGGATTGGGTGTCGCTCCGGCTGGGAGGGAGGAAAAAAATAGTATAAGTTTTTAGTAATCATAATGATTATAAAATAACACTTACGACAATGATGGTAATAACACATTTTTATTTTTTTGGGTAAGTGTTTTACGGCGCTCGCAACTGCATAAGGTCATATGAGCGCGCAGGACACATTGATTTTCAGTTGGTAAGGCATTTTGAATTCTGCCAGCGGGGCGACCCAAGCCTACTCTTATCGATTTTAGACCACCACGGGATCTCTTGCACTACTTGCGCACGGAACCCCCCCAGATTTTTCACCCTTGTCCGAGAAGGCTAGGTGTAGATCTTTCCTACCAGAAGTTCAGGGGTGTGGCTGAAAGAAAGCAGTAAGAAGGAGCCAAGGAGTAGCAGTAGAAAGGCTGCAGCAAGAGTCATTTTTATTATTATTATAGTAGAGGGGTTTACGGCACTCGCAACTGCATAACGTCATATGAGCGCCAAGGGGTGGGTGTCACCAGAGAATTCTTTACAGAGAATCAGGCTTACTCTGCTCATTTCTCTAGCTTCAACAGCACAAGGTCTGCTTCAACTATCAAGGCATCCCGGAAATAGCAGGTCACAAAAGAGTGACAAACATTCAAAAGAAGTAGAGGAAAATGACAATAGTCAGGATCAGAAAAGAAAAAGCAGCAGTTCCCTGTTGTAGATCAGGCACAGTTATGAGCGTGACATGAATCAGCCCATTTTCTACTGCACTTGAACGAGAAATGTCCCCCCTTTGGGAATGGCCTAGCCTAAAGACACTACAGTCAGTGGCACTGCCCCGGGGGGTAGCAAGAGTCAGGAGTCCAGAGGAGGGGGCAAAGGAGATGAGGGGGTGGGTGCTGAAAGTAGAGACGAAAGCAGAAGACAGAACATTGCTATAATAACAACTTTTATAATAATA